GTTGTTCAGTAAATCATGTATCTTTTAGTATTTGGCTGTGCAGTTTGTTATAGTTTGGAGCAAAAATAAATAAAACTTTTGTTTAAAGTTTTCAGATTTTTTGAGTTTTGTCATTGGTGAAACTTTGGCTGCTAGAGAACTATGTCTGCATTTTATCCAAAGCGCTTTACAACTTGCCTCTCATTCACCCATTTACACACACAGATGGTGGCGGCAGGAGCAGTTTGGGGGTTAATTGTCTTGCTCAAGGACACTCTGATTGTTTTGTAGATTATCTCTAGCTCCGGAGACACAGTTCGGTCTTCACGTTTAAGAAAACATTCTGTGTGCCTGCTGTGTTGTTGACATAAAATCTACATATCATTCATCAGTTGTGCTAAAAATGCAAGGAAATGGCCCCACAGGAATTCCAAATACAAAGTATGGCTATCATAATCATACCTAAACAGAAGAAAGGTTGTTGTTCAGCCTTTATTGCATGACAGTGTCTTTATTAACCCCGAACAAAACCGGTTTGCACTGTGGGTGCAAAATGTAAAGGTGCAGTGTGCAAAATTTGGGAGGATCTGCTGGCAGAAATGGAATAAAATATTCATAGGTATGTTTTCATTAGTGTATAATCACCAGAAATTAAGAATCATTATATTTTTGTCACCTTAGAATGAGTTATTTATATCAACAGACACTGCAGGGTGAATGAAATGGAGTTTTAAATAGCAACTGCACTGCTAGATGCCACTACATTCTACACATTCAACAATCAACAAGTCATCAGAGACTGGCTGACTTTTCCATTTCTTTTTTTGCCTGAACAACCGGTAAAAAAGCACATACTGCATATATACAGTTAAACTGACAGGAATGCAAGAAAACTTGGCATCTACAAATCTTCAACATTAAAATGTATGAATTACTTACAATTATTAATCTGTTATTTAACTTGTTTGGTAATTACTTTTATATTAAATCAACTAATCTCTCAATCACTCAAATGACTGATTGTTTCAGCATTTTAATTTTGTTAACAATTCCCCAGAATATTTCAAAGTTGTAAGGTGGACCTTTTTTATTTACAGAAAGGCACTTTTCTTCTTCTTGTCCTGCTTTCCTGCTCTCTTCAGATTTGCATTTTTTTTGGGAGGGGGGGTGGGGGTGCTGGTCCAACTTAACACAGCCGCTATCAGAGAGTGAAGTAATGGGCTTTGTGGAGTCTGATTGGCTGTTGGGGAACTGCCTATGGTGGGCCCATACAAGAGCGATCTGGGCTACAAGAGGCTTAGAGCAAACTCCAATCTGAGACTGGACCCCCACTAGTGTACACACACACAAACACACACACACACACACACACACACACAGACTCAGATTGCTTGTTGCTGTCCCCACTCCCTGATGAAGGAGTCCATTCATGCCCGTTGACAAATTACTACTGAAGCATGAGACTAAAGAGACCCCCCACCCCTCTGTCTCTGTGTCTCTCTCTCCATTATGGACTGTGTGAGACTTGGGTGTGAGAGAATATCACACGGGAGACCAGAGTTATGAAAGGAGCTTTATGTTTTGCTCTGACCAACTATGGCAGCCATGTTTTTTTTCATGTAAAAAGTGTAGTTACAGTAAAGTTTCTGATTGACTGATTTAATTTGTTTGTATTTTATCAAAAGAAGAAATTATATAAATCAGGAGTGAAATAAAATACTGTTTCTAAAACTGCTTTAACAGTGACAAACAAGAGAAAACAGAATCAAAAATACTTCTCAGCCTACCTTTCCATGATACAAAGAGGATAGATTAGGTCTTTTCTTTGCTTTACTAGATCTTTTAATGAGATCAGCTGCACAGTGATTAGGAAGCTAGCTCAGGGTGGTGAGGGGAATGTGAGGAAGGGGTTTTGTATTAAATGCTACAGTTAAATCTGATTTTCAGAGAAAGAAAATTATAGACTCAGTAACTTCACCTGCATGTGAAGTCAGACTGATATTGTAACTGAGAATGCTGCATAGTACCTGTAGGCAGAGCTTAAGTATAACAGCAACTCAGCAAAAAAACAACACTAATCAGTTTTAGTCCAATCCAGACCAGACAAGGGCTGTTTTACACAAAAGGACTAGCCAATGTCCAAAAGAAGGAGGTTGTCTGCGGTTACAGGCCACTGCAGACTCTGCATGTGACGTTAAAAGATACCCAAAACTTGTGTCTGCATTAACGCAACAACCCTGAAAGCCCTGTAGGAAAATCCAAGGCTGGTTTTGATCATTTACAGGTCAAAATGCATCTAGATTTCTTATTTAAAACCTTGGTTAAATTTGGTTAATCTGTACATTGACATTGTTACAACAGCTTTAAAAGTATTATGTAGCTTCAGTCCTTATTAATAATAAATAGGTAGACTGTGGGGTGCCCTCACTACACTGCATCATAATGAGAAAATATCCATTAACATGACTGATGCCATAGCTGACAGCACTTTAAAGGACCATTGTGTAGGTTTCAGTGGCATCTGGCAGTGAAGTTGTAGACTGCAACCATTGGAATACAGTTCAGCCATTAAAGCCTGTAGAAAAAACTATGGTGGTCTCAAAAAGCTCATAATGAATGCAAAAGGCCCTGTCTGTGTTTGGTTTGTTCGTTCTGGGC